GAATCTTCATAATTAGTGTGACATGAATCGCTCCAACCCCTAACCAAGGCGCTAACCCTAACTAGATCGAGTTCCACGCATGCAAACCCTAACCGTAGAGCTCGGCATAAATAATAACCCTAAATTCTATAGTTATTTCAGTTTAAGTCCCTGGCTCGATCCATTAATTAGCATATGCATGATTACTATATGGTTTTCATTTATATATAGTTATGGTAATTAAGATGGCCGACCCGCAAGAAGACTACGAGAGTGAGGCCATGATGAACATTATCAATGGTGGCAGTCAATATGGCCCCAACCAGAACAAGGTCGGCCCGCAGGATTTCGATGATGACTCTCAATACTTAATAAATTTTGAAGATGAGCAAGAAAATCCTGTGCAAGAAAATGCTGGAGAGGTATATTTGTTAACAATCTTGCATCTCTTATATATATGAAATTAAACATAATTCCAATAATTCATATATATATGTATTACTAAATCTTTGTGTTTGTACATACGTAGCCCTCTAGATCGATTTACGTCGATTTAAAAGTAGTAAAAAGTGTACGAGGCCCGACAAAACCGTTGGAGGCCACTACATAATCACGTAAGTCAATCCTAATACTAGTGAACTGCTGCTGCAGCCCAAAACAATGCAAAGAAGTTCGTAAACCACTATGGGGTTCTCGTTAGGGATAGGGTCCCAATCAGCGTTCATGAATGAAAAAAGAGAAAGGATGATCCTCTGATCAGTTTTGTCTCTGAGCGAGAGGACCTTCTTTGAGATTCAATCACCGCACATTTCAAACTAGTTAAAAGTTGGGCTCTCAATAAGATGGTCACACAATTTCAGACCTAGAAGAAGAAGCTATATAATGAATTTGTCAAGAAGAATCTAACTCCATATTTCAGGTCAAAATAGTCCGTATAAAAGTTGAGGGACGACTGGCCTGAATTTGTGAGGTACAAGACCCCGGAAGAGGGTGAGGAACGGGTGAGAAGAAACCAACAGAATGCACGATAGAAGGTATACCATCATAAAAAGGGATCAGGTGGCTACAGGAGTGCCATTCCAAAGTGGCAAAGAATGAAAGAAGACCTGCTTGCCAAAGGGATCCATCCATTTTCACTCGAATGGCCCGAACGTTCCAAGAATTGGTTTTTCGCGCATGGGGACCACTGGACCCACAGTCTGGGGAGCTAGTTATTGGTGGGGAAATCGGAACAGCAGCACAAAGACTTATCGATATTGTAGATGCTTCTGCCAGTGGTGCCTTTGTGCCCAACCGAGAGAAGGATGAGCTGACATACACTTTCGAGACTCCTGAACACCCTGGGCGAACGCGAGGCAAAGGGTTGATTTTGTGGTGGCATGGCTTCCCTGAGGACGCCACTACCTACGAAAGCCACCAATGAAGGAAGTATGAGGAGGCAGAGCAGATCCCTAAGTTAAAGGAGGCGGTGCTTCGATTGTAGGAACGAGAACTAAACATGGACGCGAGAATGCAAGAGGAAATCAAACGGCAAGTGGCACTACAGTTGAGTAGCTAGAGGCAGTCATCAACATCAGAGCATGCAGTCAATGTTAGCCCCCCTCAGCTAAGAAGTAGCTATGCTTCAACTGAGCTCCCAAATCAAGATGACGCATTGCAGCACTTCCCCGTGGATGAGATCACCATGTTCGTTTGTATGCATGCAGTTTTATGTCTATAGTATGAGCAGATTACGTCTTAATGAATCATATTTTACTACTTCTATTTAGGTGTAAGTTCTATGCTGTGTAAATTGATTATTCGTAAATGAGAATGGTCGGAATTACCTGAACAGTTATCTGATCATTTTTTGGCCTTTTTTTTTTTTTCTGTATGTTTGATTTGGTTCTCCTTTGAAATCTTCCAATTCGGCTTCTATAGAAATAATCTGGTTATTTTCTGTATTTTTTATTTGTTGTTTGTATGTTTTATTTGTTTTTTTTAATTTCTTCCAATTTGCACTTCATAGTAATTATCTGGTATTTTTTTGTTATTTTATAATTTAATTTTTGCATTTACTTGATATATTTTATTTGCAATCTTTAGATCTGGATCGAGTGGTTATAGAAATCCAGTGTTTGGATGGGATCCGACACTCGATTATTGTTGTTCGTTGGAATCGCGTGTTTTAGGGAGACTTGACACTCGGGTGACAGACGTCCTTGGAACACCCGAACGTCTAGTAGAAAGACCTATATGAAAGAGGGATCAGTTGTTTGTTTTGAATTTCTTTCATTAAAAGCAGCGGGAGATTTCCATCTAGAGTTCAAATGATACTATAAAAATCATGCTCTATCTTGATTCTATCGACTCATTTTTATGTTTATTTTTCTCTATTTATTATAATTAGTCGATATTGATCAACCAAACTAAGTAAAAGATTAAGTGACATGGACTACTGTCCCTAGTATATACTCTCGTTATCTATTATCCTTTTGTTTTTGTATATAAATCTTTTTCGTACTTTTGCTGGTGTTTGTGGAGTTATATATATGAGTCATGTCATCCACATTTTGACAGCAGCTCTCCATACTTTCTACACTTACATAGTCATAGATAGAATCAAGTGATACACTTATGTTCATACTAAAGGGCTTGTTTAGCATAGTTTAATTATAAACTGTTTATAGCAAATATAAGCTGAAACTAGAAGCCAAACGACACATCTTTTGTAGCTTTTTTTTGCCACGCTTCCCTCATCATAGGACCTATTTCTACTAAAAACATAGAAATTGGGTCATACTAACTTACTATTTTGGTTGTGCTTTTTCTCCATTCGTGTAGCTTATCAAGAAAACGTTTATCAGCATAGTTATACCAAATTGGATCAAGTATCACGTGGTTACAACATTACATGACACTTGTGTTGTCTCAAAGTCAGCTAAACTTTTTCATAGTTTGGGTCATTGATGTAGGCTAATTATAATAAAGACTTCATATAAATCCAAAAAATATCTATATAAGCATTTTATATAAATCCAAAAAATATGAGCACCCATATGATATGGGTGAGCATGTTCCACCATAAGGAACCAGTAGCGTGAAGTAATTACTTATTGTGTCAATTTTTTATTACTTCTTTTTTTGGTTTGAGAGCAATTGAATAGTGAAAACATATAGTTATTTAAGCCCGTCTCGGTGGAGAGATTCATTTCGTTGTTTCCAAGACTGTCATATCATATAGAATGAAATAAAACTTGGATGAATTTTTCACTCTCAATGGAAAGTTTCATTCTATAGTTTCATATACATTTAATTCTATGACTCATAGAGAGTTGGTAACTGTGCTAAGAGAGTTTCATCCCCATGAAACCCAATTCTTCTCTCTCTTCATTAAAACGTTGCCATGTCATCAAAAATGCATATGTGGTAAGCTATTAAATGCAAATAAAATTCTAGTGAAACTCTCACGGTGACTGGCCTTATAACTAGTTCAACTTGGCAAGTTTCAATGGCATCAAACTTTTCTGATGTCTCAAATAGCCAAAACTTTGCCACAAAATGTATAGCTCCAAACTTTGAACACAATCGATCGTCTATGGAAGAAAAGGATAAACAACAAAGAATTATTGAAGCTACATATATACATGTACAGTGACCCCTATATATTGTTATTGCTATCTGCCGCGCGCGATATCCATAGAGATATATTTGTTGTTTAGATCGGTTGGATTATTATTATTATCCTGTTTGCATGTCCAACACGTTAGCTAATAAGAAGCCAACAGCTGTGCAGCATCCGGTGTGGTGTCCTTATATTACCTTATTGGATCATCCAAGACATGATATCATTAAAATTAATATACATTTATTTTTTAAACACAATCATAACCATAAAGGCACACACCATATATATCTTATCTTTATGAACATTTTCGAGAGTCCAGGGTCAGTTGGGTACAATTCTGTTTTACATCATGGGCGGATCCAAGGGTATTCCCTAGTATTCCCAGGAATACCTAATTTTTTTGAGATACTTTTATGTATATATGTGTATATACTTGTGTATATATATGTATATTATAATATTCTGTACTGTTTTCGCTCATTGCAGCCCAAATCAGTCAAAAACACGGCCTTTCGGCCTTGCCTCCAATCTTCCTCCTTCCCAGGATGGCCCACTAGGCCCACTCAGGCACTCCACCCCTTCCTTCCTGGCCTCTGACCCACCTCGAGCCCCCGACACCCCCTCGCCCCTCGGCCTCTGCTCGCACGGACACGAGACGCGATGGACGCCGCGCAGCGAGGAGCGGGCTGCGGCCGGCGGAGCGCGACGTGCGCGGCCAGCGCAAGCTGCAAGGGCGCAAGGTAGCAAAAGCCTGTGGCAGGGGGCCGGCCGGGCGGCAGGGGCTCAGGGCTGCAGGAGGCACCGTGGCGGCGGCCAGGCCAACAGGGCAGCCGGCAGCCCGCAGCCACTGGCCAGGTGCCCAGGTCCCAGGACGGCAGGACTCTAGGTTTGTGATCAGTTTTTACTTCTGACAAAAATCATGGCAATGCTTATATGCCCTTATGTGCAGTGCAACATATAGGTTCAAGTTATTAAGAACACTTACTTATGTTTGGTCTTCCCGTAAGCTTTCTTATGAATGCAGCTGTTAGTGTTATAGTTCCATGCATTCTCCATATGACATGAGGGAGGTAAAGTAATGTCTATTTTATTTAATTGGTTGAGCAGACAACCTGTTTCTGTGATGTGATAATACTACTATGAATTAGTATATTTGAAACCTAAGCTATCATGTATTGGATTTTTTTTTTCACACATGGGAATACCCAACTTCAGAATCCTGGCTCCGCCGCTGTTTTACATGTATAAAAATAAATAACTCCTCATGGTACATACAAATGTGAAATGTCCATAATATCGTTGTTTTTTTGCCTCCGTCTTCCTCCTATGCACACCGGTGCCTACGCCCCGGGGCTGCACATGTACACACGTCCTGCCTGCAGCTAGCAGCTCTCTATAAATACCTCGATCACCGATGCATAGCTCTCTTAACCAGCAGCAGTACAAGAAGCAGCATAACAAGCCATATATATATCGTCTTTACCACACCGTGAGTGTGCTATCTATATACCTTACGATTTTTGCAATAATATAGTAGTAGTAGTAGTAGTTTTAGTTTGTTTCCATTGAATTCGCAGGCCACAGCATCATCAGCTGATCTAGCTATTCGCAGTTCGCGACCGGAGACGACCATGAGCTCCACGGCGGCGGCACCGGAGTGCGGCGGCGCCAAGACGTCGTGGCCGGAGTTGGTGGGGCTCAGCGTGGAGGAAGCCAAGAAGGCGATCCTCAAGGACAAGCCCGACGCGGACATCGTCGTGCTGCCCGTCGGCTCGATTGTGACCGCGGATTATCGCCCCGACCGCGTCCGCATTTTCGTCGACACCGTCGCCGAGGCGCCCCATGTCGGCTGATAAGCTAGCCGCTGATGCCAAGCTTCCTTCCGTGCTCCGGAACTTGAACAAAATATGATATGATGAATAACGTGGACATGCCATGTATGCATGTCAGTGCATCTACCGAATAATGGGTGTGTACGTGTGTTTCTTCCCTAGGGGAATGGTTGCAAGAATGAATATATGAATTCGCAAAAAAAAAAAGAAAGAATGAATATATGAAACGGGACCAGTTGTTTTGTATTGACAGAAAAAAGTGTCTTGACACTAGTAATAAGAGACTCCACCGTGCAGTTTCCAGCATCAAAATGGTCAAGAAAGATATTTGACGACAAGGGTAGAAAAGACATTTTTCCTACTACCTCGTCTCTCTTTCTAATAATATTAGGCAAATTCTAGAGTTAACTGTGTCCATTAGCATATACCACGTTTCTATGATATCCTATAGTAAAATTTTCTTAAAACAAACATTTTTAAATGTTGAGGAGTTAAATATTCGGTTTTATAAATAAAAGGAGGATTCGGACTATCAGAAATTAAAATTGACGTGGTAAAAAGAACTGTTAGCTCTGGGTAGGAGAAGTGTTGGTGCGAAAAGTAACCAACAAGTAAATATTTGTAATTTTATCGTACGTTGTCATAGGATATGACCTAGCACTCAATGACACAAAGATTTATATCTTGGTTCAGCAACATGCCCTACGTCCGCTTTGATTGATTCGGTGACTTATTCCCGAGAGCCGTGTGCTCAAGTTTCTTGTGGGGTTACGAAATAGTAGGAATAAGAAGGGAGTGTTAAAGGCCTGGTCGGACTCTGGACCGAAGGGCCGAGAGTGACGGGAGCTCTAACGTATGCTAAGGGTTGGAGCGTATGCTCTGTGTAGCTTTAGAGTTCTATAGCTATTGAGATCCGAATAATACGATCGCTTTTTAAGAGAGAGCTCATTCTCTTTTGTAGTCGAGGGGAATAGGCTCTTACATCAGAGTAAGAAAGTGTCGGCGCAAAAACATTGACACGCAGAAGCCGAAAGAATCTGTTAGTTAGATGGAGCAGGAGATCCGCAACGCTGGACCAGTCGCCCCTGGTGAACGGGTCGAAAGCACGTGGCCAGTGGGGTGTTGAGAGGATAGCGGTGGCTGTGAGCGACTGAGCGAGGAGATGTCCGCGATGGCACGACGACGACGGGGATGGAGAAGGAGAATCGATCAGTCGACGGAAGACAAGACGGATGCCAAAACCACGTCGGCGCACGCACAAGACAAGACGGGTAGTGGGTCCAGGAAGCACGTACACGTATCGACGCAGCAATGGGCGGGATCGATGGTGTGTGGTGGGTCCACACAGGACGCATCGACGTGGCAATGGACCGGGCGGACGTGAGACAGGAACGGGAGTTTAGATATCTGTTGGAACAAACCCAATAATAATTGTACTCTACTGGCTCTTGCTCTCTCCCTGCTAAAGTAAATGTACATCTTATTTGTCGAGGTGTCACATATAATTTAAAACGAACAAATATATAAGGTTGAAGCTAAATCAAAACAACATTAAAGTTTGATATCATTAGTCATTACCATTTTTCATACAGATAACTTTAAATAGTTTCAAAGCATATATTATTAGTAATATATACTAGAACGGATATCATTAGTCTCATCATGAATCGCCGTGAGCCCATCCTTCCCATCACCCGTGCCGCCGACCCCCGACGCGCTTCTACTCCAGGTCTACTCGCCGAGCCGGTCCATGCCTTGCCACCGACCCGTCCTCGTCGCACCCCACCGACCCCAAGCCGGCACCTTTAGCTTTGACCTCGCTTCTGCGCCGCAACCATGGCGTCTCGGTGGCAGCGCCACGACCACGCTCCATCTCTTCACCGTGGCCTTTCGCCCGCGCCGCCCGGGAACGCCATCACGCCAAGCGCGACCAAGCACGACACCGCCGCCACCGAAGCGCACAGACACACGCCGGCGGTCATCACCGGTGAGTGCAACCACGACGCCTCCCACTGCACGCTTCTGCTGCGTCGAGCCTCGTCGCCAACACTGTCGGATTGTCCCGCCATGGTGCTCTGCTTTTGGGAGGAGAGAAGGGTGAGTATTAGAATAGGCGCTTTTCAGGGTTCTCAATGTAATTTCCATGACTTACATAAATAGTGCCAATGTCCTGCGGGTGGATTAAGTTAAAGTAAGAGGGCCTCGGTGCAAATTGGTGTCGCCGCTGCTGGGTTTCCCGCGTGGGCCGGCCAGTTGGACCCATGTCAAATTATTCGGCACGGCATGCACATGTATGCTCGTGTGCAACTCACGCTAGACAGACGTACGATAAAGCCAGCTGTCGCATGTCATCTATGGTCCATCTAGCATGATGCATGTGCTTCTTGTGGCGGGTTGGAGTAGTCTCGTGGGCTTCGACGACCAGCCTAAGTCTCACAAAGGACAGCGTAGGCACGGTCCCTACCCCTATCTACGATCTATATCGGTTGTCCTTATGTAATCTATAAGTATCTAAGTATAGCACTATTATGTTTGTATGCAAATTAACAATATCAAAACCGCTTAGACCATCTAAGTTAAACAGTTTAATCGCTAAACAGAAAGTGACCGACCACTCAGTGTTTAGCATATAATAAGGAAACACAAGCGGCAACATATAGTCTCCAGAGTTTTTTTTTTTGAAACGAATAGTCTCCGGAGTTAGTAGGCCACTGCCTTCTCTACGACTTCTTACTGCTTTGCTTAAATCAAAATTTTAAAAAAAGAGAGTGAAAACCCCCCAAATATATAGTGCTTAAGGTTTATTTATTTAGATATACATTCGTATTCACATCGATCAATGTGTGTTGGAGTACACATTGGGATGAAAATTAATAGTTAACTTTCCACTGCAATATACCTAAATACATATGGACTGAGATACATATTAGTGTATCCAAACAAGATCTTAAATGTTTCTTGTAGTATAAATCATGCATGTTCACAAAAATTTCATTTATAGTGTAAAGTTTTTTTTACTGTAAAAACATTGCACTTAGACGCTTTTTGTAGCATCTCACTACGTGCACTTAGACGAACGAGTAGGATAAAGCTGTACTAGTTGTCGTATGTCATCATTAAACCTGTTCACTTGTTGGTTTCAGATAGTCCAAATCAGCTAGTCAATAATATTTTTCTCTTAATAAAAATCAGCACCAGTCAGCCCAAACCAGCACCAGCACCAACTAGCAAACAGGCCCATTATTTACAACATCATGTGATTCAATTTTCACGAGTTTGTACAGAACTGGGACCCTGCTACCGTGGAATCGGACTAAAGTATAATTGAGCAAAGTAAAACACCTCTGCCAATATAAAAATCTTCAAGCACTTGCAAGTCAGAACTTGGAAGGATATAATTAGTAGGAGCATGTGGTTATTAAGATTAATAAAAATACTAAATGTTGATCCTAAGAGCAACTCCAGCCCCCAACTGAAGCCCTCAAAACTAAATTTAAGGACATGAGGGAAAAAAAACAAGGTCCAGTTGCATACGTGTCTTTCATACGGGTAAGTATGCGTGCGTTGTGAGTGTCTGTGTTGAACAGGAACGGGAGTTTATATCTGATGGAACAAACCCAATAATAATTGTACTTGCTCTTACTCTCTCCCTGCTAAAGTAAATGTACATCTTATGTGTCGAGGTGTCACATTTTTTTTTTAAGTTTAACTAAAAATATATAAAAAATAATATCAATATTTGTATGTCCAAATAAGTTTATTATAAAAATGTACTCTATGCATGCTCAATCTAATAATAATTACTATACATCATAAATATTAATATATTTTTTATATAATTAAGTCAAATTTTAAAATATTTGACTCATCGGGAGTCAAGATGTGTGTTTATTTTAGCTCGTGCCCAGTACACAGTACGCACGAAGACACAATAAATATCTTGAGTTTGGATTCGCACTGAAACATCTACTAGGTTTAGACAATTTCAAGTAGATTATCTATCATTTTATCGGTGTTTCTCTTTGAAGAACAATATTAATATTATGCAACACTGATTATATAACACATGTAACTAACACGGGAAAAATAACGTATTCCTCAAATAAATAACAAAAAATAATTTTTTAAATATAATTTAAAACGAAAAAAATATATAAGGTTGAAGCTAAATCAAAACAACATTAAAGTTTGATATCATTAGTCATTACCATTTTTCATACAGATAATTTAAATAGTTTCAAAGCATATATTATTAGTAATATATACTAGAACCGATATCATTAGTCTCATCATGAAAACAACTTTTTATTATTTTCATTGTGTGCATCTTCGAGACGGATAAAGATAGCGGTCGGATATTCTATAATTTTTCAAATACGTATGGAATCGGATAGAAAAAAGTTAGGGCAAACAAATTTAGATACATCTATTTTAGCTTCTATATCAGGAACAAATGCGAATATAAATATCTGTTTTTAAGTTTTGACTGATAAGATGGTTAGCTAAACATCCATTTCCAGCGCTAATCGTGCGGAGGACGATTGGCTGCGGCTTTCATTCTCCACCGCTCGTTGTCCACGCAACCTAGACCGTACACGTACTAGAAGAAGCCAAAACCACGTCGGCACACGGGACGGTGGTGGGTCCAGGCAATACTATTGTATGTTGACGTGAGTGGGACAGTGATACTGCTGGGATGGGTGTGAGTGTGAGGCCTCTGGACCAGCACGAATGTCACGCCCAATAAAGAGGGTTCGTAAACTAATCTGATTAGATAAGGCTTATCTCTAACAACAACACCTAAAATATAAGATCTATTCGTTCTTTAGTATCGCTACAGAAAAAAAATGTTCAATACTTATTCGACATCTTCTCCAACAACAAGAGCTAAAAGAGAATTCTTTCTACAAATGAGTTTTCAGTATAGAGGATGCACATATTTGGGTTGTGCATCTCAGACAACCCAAAATAGGTCTCCTATAGATACTCTGTTGAAGACTGATTTTGTATCTCTTGCTATC